GACATGGTCACATGGTTAAATTATTCTAATTTCACCAACATTAGACATTATGATATCCATAAATATTTTACACACGAGTAACTTTCAAAATATTACCCTTTCATATTGATTCTCCAAAGTTTCTTTATGCAAATCACTTATGTCACTGCTCTCAAATGTGAAAATATGGTCCAAAAGTCACCGAAACAACAAAGCAATTAGTATAGGCATTTGATCGAAAATGTGTTTGAAACTGACAAAGTAATGTACTCTGTTAAATTAGAACGGCATTTTCAAAAAGAAAGGCACTGCATTACCAATCCTCCATCCAGGAAATGCTATACAGGTCTCCCAAACAAGTATCAAACTCGTCAGGAAGTGATGGGTCACCAGGACAATATGTTCCATAACTACTCTCTTCTGCATTCGACGCAGTGGTAGCATAAATATTCAGATTACTTGAAAGGAGGCCCTCAAACATGCTCCCTGCCTCGCAAGCTTCAAGGTAAAATACCTTTTTTTTTTTTTTTCCACATAAATGCATGAAAACTCAGAAAATCATCAAAAAAAGAGTTGAAGACTTCAGTAAGACTGTTACTCAAGTGAACATTCTTACCATGCTTTTGTAACCTTTAGAAGCATGCTTCTTCTGTAGTACACGTATGAGATCTTTCGCATAAACATAATCGCTAGGCATCCCTGAACACAATATACTGTTTATATGCAACCCGAAGAACAAAATTTACTGAATTTATGGGACTATATAAGATCACTAAATATATATTTTCAAAGTTAATAAAATTAAAATAAAAAAAAAGCTACAAATTACCAAGTAATCCTACAGAACCATGGTCTGCATAATATATGAAAACATGGTCATTCGGACCGCTACTTAGAACCTTGCCACTTCCTCCGGTGAGAGCACTTTTGTCTCCGAGAATAACAGCATAGAGATTGCGTGCGTTAACATGATCTCCTGTATAATCCTGCATCAGAAAAAAAAAAACAAATACTTACAGGTAACTAAACAATGTTAAACTAACAAATTAACCAGCTAGAAATTAAAAATCAGACTCAGAAAATTAGTTACGACCTTGGGAACTCCTTTATAAACATCAGGTCCGTTTGGCTTGTTGATGATGACACCTTTTCGAGGATTTTCCGAGTTGTATGCGATATCATCGTACATGAAAACGATGATGTTCTCGTCTTTCAGTCCTCCTTTCTTCAGTATCTGGTACGCATGGCATATGTCAGCCTGCATGGAACGACAAGGATTAGCCCTAAATTTTATTACTTGTAACACAATTAACATAAAATGTTACTAATTAATCAAAATTTTGGACAAGCTTAAACCTGGTGCCTGTAGTTGTCGTAACCACTTGATCCTGCAACCAGAACTGCCCATCCTTTTCCCTTATCAGTAGTGGTACGTGAAGAGCCCTTGTTATCTCCATTAATTTCAGGGAAGCAGAAGCTTCCATGAATAGCCAAACTTAACAAAGTAAGAGACAGTAAAACCCCACAATAACCATGATTATCCATGATCTGCAGATTAACCTTGACTAACCAATGCCCAAACTCTCAAGTCAAGTACGACTGCATGTTCTTCTAATGAAGGAGTCAATTTATAGATGTCTTACGGTTGAAATGAATGGTTCAGATTAAATCCCCCCTACGTGCTCGAGAAGGAAATGCATGTCTAAAATCTTCTGAGGAATAATTGTTTCAAACTTCATCAACCCACTCAACTCTTCATCATCAACTGTGATCCTAGACGTACGTGGCCCACCATATCATGGATTAATTCTAACAAATATAATGAAAAACGCCAGCTATCATATAGTGTAAAAGATAATGAAAATAGATATTAGTTTATTACAGAATAGTTTAATGGTATTTCTCTCTATTTTAAATCTGAAGTCTATGTTTGATTCTTCAAAATGACAAGCTTAGTATTGTGGTTTAGTGGTATTCTTCTTCACTTGTAAGTGCATGGTAGGTCATAGGTTTCGCCTCCTTGGAATTCGATACCAAATTATGATTGACTTATCATATGACTTATCCAAAATTTCAACCCACAGTATTGTTGTATATGAAAATTTGTGTCCACTTATAAATGAGAGGTTTTACGTTCGACTTCGTAGATTTGGTGAGTTTAACATCAAATTATTTTGACTGACACATATTGTTCTAAAAATTCCCGCCAAAGTGCTAGGCGGCTGGATGTAACCCCGATTAGTTCCTAGGCATTTGAAAATTAAGAAAATGCACCTAAACCTGCTTAGGCTTCCACCTAGCCTGCCTAGCACTCCTAAACCCACCTCTATCGTGACTCTCAAGAGACTTGTTGAATACTTGAATGAACACTCATTATATGCTTGTTCTCCATATTTTCAATATGGTTGTCTATTACTTTATATTCTATATGTCATATTCTTTATCACAATTTATGTATCCCATTACAATTATGAGTTTTTTAAAGTATAAATTGGCACTTATTTATACAATATATCATAAATTTACTTAAATCCGTCTAATATGTCTAAGCCCCCGCCTAGCCGCTTAGGCAGTAGACTCCAGTCCGCCGCCCGACTAGCAGGTAAAGTCTTTTAGAACCAATGTAACTTAGCCAAATTTCCCATTCATAATGTTTAATACAATGTCTTAAGATTGATTTGAGCTCATTGCCTTAGAGGTTAAGATTTTGGGTTTGGATATTTTAATTAAGATTTTGGGTTTGGATATTTTAATAGAAAAACTAACGAAAATAACTTAAAAACTTTGAGTTTTAACGATAAGAACAAAATAAAAGGTAATGTGAATGGTACCAAGATTGATTTTTTAGTGTAAAAATGTGATTTTCGTTAAAGTAAACAGTATGATAAACTTTTCGCTAAAGTTCTATATTTTAATATGGTATAATTACCGCTCAGCACAAGTCATCTATTCAAAAAATTTGGTCATCCAAAAAGGGGGTCATGGCTTCTATTTTCACATTGGAATTAGTAGCTATGACTGATGAATTAAATGATGTAGTGGCATTTCTCACAGAAATGTTGTGTGACATGCATGAAAAATTGCTGTGTAAAGGACGGATTTGGATCCTTCCCTGAGCCTAAGGAGAGGATTCTTCTGACCAAGACACGTAGACCGTTAGATTTTTATCTAATGGCTATAAACAGGGGGATCCCTTTAAAGTTATAATGTTATAATAATTATAACCGTTAAATAAAAATCCAACGATTCATGTGTCTTGATCAGGAGGATCTTCTCCTTGGGCTCAGAAGAGGATCCAAATCCTTTAAAGGACATCCTTTAATTTGATGTGCATAACCACCTTATATGAATGGTGATTATTCGATTTCAAAATTCTAGCTTTTAATGAATATTTGTAGCGTCACTCATTATTGTTGTTTAGTGGTATTTTTTTTATTTGTAAATAAGAGATTTTAAGTTCAAATATCTAGCTGACAAATTCAATAATAGGCTACCTAGCTGAATCCATCTCTCTCTTTAATGTAAATATATTGATATATTAAAAGCAAATACTTGTATCGAACCAAATTAATGACTCATTTAATTATTTGCACGTTGAACATGTGATGTTTATTTTATTTGACCAAATAGTGGAGTGGACTTGTCTGCGAGGTCATGCAACCACAGCTTTCCATATATATGTAGTCTATCAAAAAGTTATATGACCTAATAATTTGTATGGTGTGGCATGTTTATTTTATTTTCCCATCTAGAAGAACAGTTGTGCTAGGAAATAAATGTACAATTTATTTTTCGATACAAGTTATATTTTACTTTAAATTAATTTAAAGTTTGGGGATGAAAATTCAAATTTCGGCGGGTGCTCACGTTGAGGTGAGTCAACATCTAAGTTAAAATAGGGCTGGGTTCGGTTCCCATCGGTTCGGTTTTTTCTCAAAATCGAAACCAAACCGAAATTTCGGTTCGGTTCGGTTCGGTTCAATTTTATTTCGGTTTTTTTTTCGGTTCGGTTTTTCTCGGTTCGGTTTCGTTTTTTTTTTTTTTTTTTTTTTTTTTTTTTTTTTTCTCCCTCCAAATTATTAAAAAAAAAATGGAAATATGAAAGTTCACATTCAAAGCCACTTCTTCAAAGTCATCCACATGAAAATGCTTCTTAAAAAGCACTTGGAGACGAACAAAAACAATCCCAAACCCACCGAGCGCCAAGGTACAACTTTTACTTGCAGAAAAAGGACGAAACATATATTTTTCAACATTTTTTTGGGAATTTTGAACTGCATGCTAAATTTAAGGCACATACAACTTATTCAGCATACAAAATGTTCACCTAGTTTCAACAACCTAATTTCAGCACCTAATATTCTTGCACTTTAAAATTAATCAGATTTACAGTGGTGTTGGTGCATCTTTGTTAAGGCATGTCCGTCTATGCTTGTTAAAGGAATGCATTTTCCTTTCCTTCGAGAGATTATACAGATGATCAGTATTCAATCGTGATCAAATTTTTGAGATCCAAACATCGAAATCAAACAAAAGATAACAACTTAAATGTGCTTGTAGAGTCTAGACTGCGCATAATATTTCAAACATCGAAATCAAACAAAAGATAACAACTTAAATTGACAGTTATATACACAACTTCTGTAATTGAACCATCTTTTGGGCTTTGGGGAAAGAAAAATACAGATCAAAAATAAAATTTGTAAGAACCTACCGAAACATTAATCCACTTAGTTTGTTGAAATCAAGCATATATCAAATACAGAAACATATATTCTTCAAGTAATTCAACTAAAATTGCTGTCCCAAATTCATTCTGACTTAGTTTATCCCAAATTGTTGTCCATATTGACAACAAGCACAGTTTTACAACATTCATTCTGATGTTAAAGTCTTTAACATCAATTATCAAATCAAAATCAACATGTATAAATAACCAATTACATTTACAATCAGGAGAGGGAGGGAAGAGAGGCAGAAACAGATGAGGGTAAGTCAAACATTAGCAGCAGAAACAGATCTAAACAACAAAAGCAACAGAATTTCATCACAAACTAATCAATTCGAGTCGAATCGAAATTCAATTGAACAACAAGATTTCGAAAACCCCAACAAAACCCACTTCCCAAAACCCACCAAGATCCAACCTTTTCAACTCAAAAATCAAATCCCACATCCAAAACAGCCCCAATTAAGATCCCAAGTTTTCGAAACCCAAAAGCGATACTTACAAAGCAATCGTCGTCGATGGTGAAGATGTACTTCTTCTTGGAGACCATGTAGCCGAAGCATCTGCAAGCAGAGTCCTTGAAGGAGATGCAGGACGCCTTGGGACCCAGAATCCGGTTGATGTCGTTGCGGTTGTAGAGCTCGTAGTCGAAGCCCTTCGGGACCTTGATCACCTTCGACGGGTCACCGTCCTGGACGATGATGAGGTGGTACTGCTGGAAGAAGGGCCTCCACATCTCGAGGAAATCGAGGTTTCGGATGGTGGGGATGACGATGTCGAGCTCGTCTTTCAGCAGAGGGGTCGGGGCCACCTTGCTGTACTGCGCCATGGCTGCAGCTGCTTCTCACCGACGGAGAGCGAGAGAGAGGGAGGGAGAGAGAGATGGGTTGGAGTCTAGAGAGGAGAGGGAGGGAAGAGAGGCAGGGAAGGGGAATGAAAAATAAGGAGGAGGAGGGTTAGGGTTACAATAAAAAGATTAAAAAATTTAAAATCATCTCACAAATCCTGGAGGCATGAGGGTTCGAACCCATGCCTCCAGCTTGTAAACTTTCACTGAAACCAACTTAGCAACAGGTTCTGTTTTGTTATGATTGTATGACTAAACTATTTATAAATATTCAAAAAAATTATATATATATCGGTTCGGTTCGGTTTCCGAGCCTCAAAAACTGAAACCGAACTGGTCAGATTCGGTTCGGTTCGGTTTGACAATTTCGGTTTGGTTTTTTTGCGGTTCGGTTTTTTTCGGTCTCGGTCCGGTTCGGTTGTCGGTTTTTTTCGGTTTTCGGTTTTTTGAACCCACCCCTAAGTTAAAATAGAATTCTGATTTATTTTTCTTTTCTTGGAAGACTTCCATTTGTACAAAGGTTAGGATTTTATTTTTTGTTATAAAATAGATTAAAAATGTTTTCTTCTTACTCAACAAAGATGGTATCTCGATAAATTCATCCCTTGACAGAGACAATAATGCATAACAATGTTTAGGCTCTATATTTTAACAGTACAAGCGGGAACTCATTTACTCTAACCAATTTAATTAAACTTACGGTTCCATATGTACTATACAATTAGGACTTGGTAGGACATAAACAAGGGATTCCTTATCTATAGAGATGTACAATTAAGAAAGTTGATTAAAATATATATGCATGTCAAAAACCTCTGACGAATAATTTTTTTCAAACTTTATCAACCCACTCAACACAAACAATACTTAGCTACTCAAAGATGAGTAGGAACTCCTACTTAAAATTCCTCAAATTTGTTCATTGCTAATTTATAGAACTTTGTGTTTATAATCAGAACGTTCATATTATAAATCACCCTATAAAGATCACTTCTGCAAAAAATCAATTAAAATTAAGTTCATTTAGTCATCAAACTATTTAAAAACAAATGAACGGTATTGGTAAAAGCATTATGAACCGTCTATGTATTTGCTACAATAGATTGCATAAACGACCTTAATTTTAATTTATTTTTGCTGAGATGATTTTTACAGTGTGATTCACAGTATGAATGGTTCTGATCATAAGTACAAAACTCTGTGTTTAAAATACTAAGAGTTTTGAGTAGGAATTCCTACTCATCTTTAAGTAGCCAAGTATTGTTTACTAAACACGTCATCATCAACTTTGTGATCCTAGGCGTACGTGGCCCACTTATCATGGATTAATTCTTACAAATATAATGAAATACTACAACCATCCATTAGGGAAAAGGATCATTTCCAGGATTCCTTCCACCAAATCCACAAATTTGGACCCTTAAAATTTGATTCAAAAGCTAAAAACAAGGACCCTCTTTAAAAGTTATAATAACTTTAACTGTTTGATCAAATTTCAAGGGCCTGGATCAGTGGATTTGGTGGAAGGGAGAGATGATCCCTTTCCTCCATTAGGGACAACGATTTGTCATTTGTCAACCTCATATAGTGTAAAAGATAATGAAAATTAGTTTATTACAGTATAGTTTACTGGTATTTTTCTATATTTTAAATATAAGGTTTATGTTTGATTCTTCAAAATGATAAGCTTAGTATTACAATCTAGTGTTATTTCTCTTCACTTATAAGTGCATGGTAGGTCATAGGTTTCAACTCACTTGAATTTGATACCAAAATATGGTTGATTCATCATATGACTTATCCAAAATTTCAGCTCGCAATATCGTTGTATATGAAAAACTTGTCTCTACTTATAAGCGAGTGGTCTTACATTCGCGACTTCGTAGATCTAGTAAGTTTAACATCAAATTATTTTGACTAACACATTGTGCAACTTGGCCAAATTTTCCATTCCTTAATGTTTAATACAATGTCCTACTTAGATTGATTTGAGCCAATTGCCTAAAAAATGATTTTGGGTTTGGATATTTTACTATCGTATAATTGCCTCTCAGCACAAGTCATCCATACAAGGATCATCCAATAAAATTCTTGGTCATCCAAAAAGGAGGTCATGGTTTTGGACTATAGATCTTCTATTTTCACATTGGAATTAGTAGCTATAACTGAGGAATTAAATCATGCAAATTTGGATAAATTTCTTCCGTTCAATTGAATTCATTGCTGATTATGTACTGGCATTTCTCACAGAATTGCTGTGTGACACCCATGAAAAATTGCTATGGAAAGGACATCCTTTAATTTGATGTGCACAGCCACCTTACATTAATGGTTGTTATTCGAATTCAAAATTCTTGTTTTTAAAGAATGCTTGTATCATCTCTCAGTTTTATAGTCTGATAGTATTCATCTTCACGAGATTTGAGCTAATTGGTAACGAAATCTCGCGGATGACGAATTCGATATCAAATTAAGCTGCCTATTATGTGACTTAGCCAAACTCCTCTCGAACCAAAAAAAATTTACTTGTATTGAACCAAATTAATGGCTCACATAATTATTTCAACGTTGAACATGTAATGTTTATTTTATTTGACCAACAATGGAGTGGGCTTATCTTCGATATCATGCACCATAGTCTTCCATATATATGTAGTCTACCAACAAATTATATGACCTAATAATTTGTACGGTGTGACGTTTATTTTATTTTCCCTTCTAGAAGAACAGCTGTGCTAGGAAATAAATGCAACCATTTTTTTTTTTTTGATACAAGTTATATTTTATTTTATAATTTTTTTAAAGCACCTCATGTATTGTTTTTTTTTTTATATACAATTTATATTTTATTTTATAATTATTTTTATTAGCACCTTATGTATTCTGAAAGGAGCTTTATTAAAATTTATCATTAAATGAATTATATACCATATGAAATGACTATTTAGACCCATCAAGTTTTAATAATGAAAATAAAGATAATGAATGCACTCCATATCACTTTCAACGTGTAACCCAAATTTCACGAAAGTAAATTGTTGTTGTGGAGGTGGATTTTGGCAGTGAAATATGAGCAGTGGATTTATAGTAAATCAATTTTAGGTGACGGAAGTCAAAGAATTCTTAAACTAGAATATATTATTTTTAGTGGGTGTTGGCCTAGTCCCTCCTCCCGCGCTTGTTTTACTTTTCCTTTTTTCTTCAATTTTGTTAGGGTCAAATTATGTTTTTACATTTTCATTATTTATTGATTTAAAACATATTTTTTTTAACGGATAATGGGTCGGATCATATTACTTGATAACATTAACAGACTGGTTTCGGGTCGGGTCATATTATCCGTTTACTTTAATGGGTGTTACACGATACAACCCATTAAGATATTGGGTATGTCACGAAAATGACATGAACACTGAAAACACTACACTAAAGCCAGGTCTAGTTTCAGGGTGCAACGGTCCTTTCTCCTTCGGGAGAGGGTTGGTGCCTTGCACACCACTGTTGACAAAGAGCTAATCTCGCCTAATCCGTCTCTTCAAAAATTATAAAAACAAAAAACAAAAAAAAAAAATTCACGTAACCCAAATTATTTTCCAAGCTCTCAAAGGTTGGATGATGACCAAACCCCACCTGTAGAATGGGAGAAGTAAAGGAACTTAAAAACCGGTCGCCATTCAAAAGAAAGAGTAGTAAAGAGTCAACTTTTCAAAGTTTTGAGGCCCAATTGTGAGACCCAGAAGAATGCACGCACTCTCCATATGTCATGGTAATCGGCCTTAACACGCTTTGTGTGAGCATAAAACACCGAATTGAAATCCATAATGGTGGTGCTAATTATAAGGTTGCCACAAAGTAACAAGGTAGAAGTAGGACTGTAGGAGTAACTTCCAACCCATTAAGTAAATGAGAAATCCAAGCGTCAACACACACTACTACAATATAGGCTATCACCGGCGGACCAAAAACCGACAAGAAACCCCGATTTCTGTCGGAAATTTGGCAAAAATCCGACATAAAACACTGCAATGTCGGATTGGAATAGCGACGCCATTGCTACCGTCACTAAAGGGCTTCAGCGTCGCTTTGTTCGCTTAATCCGCCACTACGCAGCGTCGGTTTAAAGCGACGCTGATGTTAACGTCGGTTTAAAGCGACGCTAGTCAACAATTAACTAAATAAAATATGCAAACTAGTGACGGTTTAAAGCGACGTTAGAGAACAATTAAATAAATAAAATTTGCAAACTAGTGACGATTTAAAGCGACACCACCTTTGATAATAATAATTAAAAAAAAAGTCGAAATCTGTTTCTGTATTCATTCTCAAATAATTATAACTCAAAAAAATTATATAATCGAAATAATAAATTTCAATTTTAGGCCAAAACAAACAATAATAAAAATAATTCAAAAGAAAAATAGTGCCATAATATACAAATGTTTTACATCTAACATTCCATATAATTTACAAAAATTCATCCTCCATGCTTTCATGTGCTTGCCTTTGTCGAAGACCACATATTTTGTAGCTCCATAGTGCCATATATAATACTAGCAACTCCATGCTGCCATGCTTGCCAGCAGATCAGTGCTCCAATACTTTACTACTTCAACATTAAGGCTCTAATCTCTATAGATTAAACTCAGGTTTTATACCTTTAAAAAATTATGGATCTGCGATTTCCAGTGTCCTTGCTCTTCAGATCCAACATGCATAAATACAAAAAAAAACAATTAAAAACCAAGAAACAAAAATAAATTTTCAATTTAAGCATAAAACTATTTAGAATACAAAATAGAAACTAAAATTAATAATCATAATAATTTAAAAATGAACCACCTTCAAGCTCTTCCTCCTCGAATTGGAGTTCTTCAGAATGTTGATCTTCAAACTGGTGATCCAAAGCAAACGGGGAAGGAGTTGAGGAAAAAATGAAAAGGAGGAAGAAGGGGACGCACAGATGAAATGGGGAAGGAGAAGAAGAAAGTCTGAAATTGGGGGAGAAATGAAAGCACGGTTGAAATGGGAAAGAGAGGGGTTTAAATATGGGTACTTAGTTTGCGTCCGTTAAAACCGACGCAAACGTCTGACACTTTTTTTGAAATTCACATAGCGTCGCTTTAATGAAACTCGCGTCGCTTTAATGAAACTAGCGTCGCTTTAAACCGACACAAACTTCTGATACTTTTTGAAATTCACATAGCGTCGCTTTAATGAAACTTGCGTCGCTTTTAACCGACGCCAACTTCTGACACACTT